GTTGGCCATTCTGACAGGTTGGGAAGCATAGTCTCTATACTTCTAGGGAGGGGCAAAGGGAACAGAATTTATGCTGAGTGAGGTTTCCAAATACACATATTTGATAAGCTAAAGGAGTCATGAAGACTTATAAAAGGGGAAACATACACACGTGAGGCTGAGCTTGATGCTCCTTCATGGGTCCCATTTACAAAAGCTAGTGGCATTCGCATGATTCAGGGGTGTCTTCAGGAATCTGACATTAAAAAGTGAAGCAGAGGACGTGAAAATCCTCATTGTGCAATCTCTGTAGTATGGCCAGAATGACTCTGTGGTCAATGGTTTCTCATCAGGCAAAAAAGGAGGGCCATCATCAGGTGGTTGGTTGATATCAGAGGTGGAGTCTTTGGAAACAGCTGGTTTCTGTTAGGTCCTTAGAGAAGAAAGCCTGATCCTAATCATGTTTAGCTAGGGAGGAGGTGTAACAAGGTGTGCCTGACCCCTCCCATCCTGTCATGGCCAAGAACTGTTTTCAAGATTACTTTCATTGCCCAAGAGATGGCACATTCGGTTGATTGGGGGCTTAGAATTATACTTTTATTTCTCAAGGTATACAGCCCAGGAACATAGGCACACTGAAAGGCTGAATTTACTCACAGAATTGTAAAACACTTACCCTCCCCTTGCACCCTACCACCACATCAATAAGACCTCAGTATAATATCAGGGGATTTCAGCTTTAAAAGTTACAGGATGCACACTATAGGGGCTTAACCCTCTGAAGGATCACTGAAAAAACATACAAAAGGCAGATTTATAGGAGAAATGGCATACAAATGCATTAACACGCATGGGGAGAACCACAGAGTGATTATCCCAATGCCCCAATGGGGTACAGAAGCTTGTTTACCATCTTAAAATTACAGAAGAAATGGGGGCTTAGCGCATGACCATAAACAGGTGACGGTGGTAAATTAGGATACAGTGGCCACACAGGTTATGGAGCGGAAAAAGCAGGCCTGGCTAGCAAAGGCAGTCTTTTTATATTGATGAAATCTCACAGGCAGCAGCCCTCAGAGAGAATAGATGGGAAATGTTTCTTTCATAACTCTAAAGGTGTCAGACTCTCAGTTAATCTTTCCTAGAGCCAGACAAACAAGGGCCTCAAAGAAAGCCTGGCTGCATCAATGCTGATTCTCTACAGATGCAAATCTCCCCCATAAAAGACAGCTTTTCAGGGCTACGTCTGTTTGCAGGCCATATGAACAGTCATCTCAAAATACGTCAAAGAAGTATATCTTGAGGTTAAATATTTTTATTTCCATCAACACACTATTTAGAAAGAGATTTTAGGGAAAATCCAGGAAAACAAAGGAGACAGAAAACAAGGACACTATAGGAAATTGAAATCTCTGACACCTGCAGCAACAGGAAGTATTAAATGCATCCCATCCCCTAACAGATTAACATAAAACCTCACAGGAAAGGCCTATTCACCTCAGTTCCCATTACCTCATACGTCATGTCTGGCTTTCAAGAAAAAAGTTGCAAGACATATCAAGGGCATTAAAAAAAAAAATCTGAAGAGATAAAGCAAGCATCAGAACTAGACTCAGACAGGACCCAGATTTTGGATTTATCAAACAGGGAATGTAAGATAACTGTAATTATAATTATTATGCTAAGGACTCTAATGGAAGAAGTAGACAAAATGCAAGGACAAATGGGTAATGTAAGTAGAGAGGTAATGCAACAATGAAGTAGTACTACATATCCATTAGAATGGCAAAAATCCAGGACACTGAGAATACCACATGCTGGCAAGGATTTGGAGCAATAAGGATTCTCATTCATTGCTGGTGGGAATGCAAAATGGTGCAGCCACTTTGAAAGAGAGTGTTAACAAAAGACCATGGGATCTGCAGAGGAGAAAAGGAGAGTTTTATTTTCTTTAAAAAAAGAAAAAATCTGTGGATTGGGGAGATACAGCCTCCACTGTAAAAATGAAAGCCTTCCCCAGGGGGTGAGGTTAGAGAATGAGTGATGATAAAGGCAAAACTTGCAGGGTAGGAGAGAGGAGTAAGGGGGGTGCGAACAGAATCTCGATTGGAGGACCTTTAAGTCCCAATTCACCAGTCTCTCTTAATTGGCTGACTCCAGATGGTCAGTCAGTTGGGACCAGGTGGTTCGTTTGAAGTCAGTTGGGGAATTTCCAGCTGTAGTCTATCTCAGCACTGCCAACAAGAACTGGTTTGGCTTAATTGTAGAAAGGGAGGTCCTGTGACATGTTTACAACATTTTTCTGTGAGCACAGAATACATAACAGCTTCCTCACCCAGACACGGCCACCTCATTGTTTTAACTTTGATCACCTCAGTTAGCCACAGGGAGTCCATTCTGCCTGTTGGCTAGGAACATACTGTAACAGCAGTTCAACAGTTTCTTACAAAATTAAACTTACTTTTAGTACTAGATAAAGCAATCATGCTTTTGGATTTTGATCCCAAAGGAGCTGAAAATGTATGTCCAACTCCAAACCGGCACATAGATGTTTATAGCAATTTTATTCATAATTGCCAAAACTGGGAAGCAACCCAGATGTTGAAGAAAATTCAAATATTTCACCCTAAAATATATTTCCTTGAAGATAGATATTCAGAAGGGTTGAAGGAACAAGAAGAGATGAAAAGCTCTCTTTTGTAGGGGAGATTTGCTTTGTAGAGATCAGCATTGATGCAGTCTGGCTTTCTCTGAGGCCTTCCCTTGTCTGGATCTAAGAATCATAAACTGAGAGTCTGACATCTTGAAGCATCTGAAAGAAATATTTACCATTTATTCTTTCTGAGGACTGCCACCTGTGAGGTTGTGTTTCCATAATGAGTCCACCTTTGCTAGCCAGGCCTTCTTTTCACCCCTTCCCATAACCTATTTTGCCACCATAACCTGTTTCACGATGCTCCAAGCCCCCATTCTTTCCATAACCTCAAGATGGTATACAAGTTTCTGAACCACACTGGGGCTTGGGGTAATCACTCTATGGTCCTCCCTTATGTGCATGTTAATAAATTTGATTCCATTTTTTCTAATAATCTCCTTTTGTGAGTTGACTTTTCAGCGAACCTTCGGAGAGTGGAGGGGAAGCTTTCTTTGGCTCCTACAACGTCCTTTAGCAGGGGAATGAATTAGTTAACTCTGGTACATTGAGACAATGAAATATTATTTAGTGCTAAAAAGAAATGAGTATTAAGCCATGAACAGACATAGAAGAAATGGAAATGCATATTACTAAGTGAAAGAAATCAATCTACAAATGCTACATACTATATGGCCTCAACTGTATGACATTCTGGAAAAGGCAAAACTGTGGCAACAGTAAAAATATAAGTGATTGCAAGGGGCTGGGGGAAAGGGAGAGATAATAGGTAGAGGACAGAGTATATTTAGGGGAGTGAAACTATTTTCCATGACAATATAATAGTGGATACATGTCATTACAGATTTGTCAGAACCCATAACATATATAACCCCAGAATGATATTTAATGTAAACTATGGACTTTTGGTGATATTGACAAGTGAAAGTCAACAAAAGTTTATTGACAGTAATAAATACACCACTTTGGACCAGGATATTGGCAGTGGGGAGGCTGTGTATGTGTGGGAGTGAAGGGTATATGAGAATTCTCTGTCCTTGTTGTCTGATTTTGCTCTGAACCTAAAACTGCTTTTAAAAAATATCTTTAAAAAAATTTCTTCAGGGAAACATAAAATGATATATTCAGAAACTCAGTGTACATAAAGAAAGCATCAAGAAAAGATAAATAATATGTAAAGGTAAAAAAAAATTCTCTTATGAGACTTCCTGTCAAACAACTTTGTATCAGCCCATTACTTGTTCCCTTTTGCATTTAAAAACATGCTTGTAACAAAGGTGACACAGCATTCCCTGAGGCCACTTAGAAGTGGGTCCCAGGCAGCTGTCCTCACTGTGGCTCAAGTATACTCTTCAAATTACATTTTATGCGTAGGCTTCTTTCTTTTAAGCTGACAAAAACAACATATTGCATGATTATATTATATGAATATGTGTAATTAATGACAGCAGTTTTATAAGGAAGAGATGAACTGGGAAAACTCAGCACAAGCCTTGCCCCTCACCCTCCCCAGACAGAGCACACAGCCCAGGGTCCTGGGGATTGCCCAAGCCACCAGCACTACCTATGAAGCATTTTAGTATTAAGTGTACTTTGTTATAAATGTACATTGCAAACTCCAGTGCAACCACACAAAATATTTTTTAAAGAATTATAATACTGTGAACAGGGTGAGTAATTCCAACCCTGAGGATCTAAAATCAATTTCCATGGCTGAAAAGCCAAAGGGATGGCAGGATTTGGCCACAGCTCAGGATGCCAAGAGCTTCTACTTTTAGATGCCATAGTAGCTGGGCTCCCACTGGGTTCTTGTTACAGATCAAATGAATGACACAGCAGCCTCTGCTTCCCTTTGTAAAATTATGTTTGGCTTTGAAACTCTTAATGACAAGAAATAACCTTCTACAGCAAAATTGAGGGTGTTTAAAGAATTGAGGCAACCCTAGGAAGTAATTTTGAATTATTTTATAAAACGATTTGAAGATGAAAATCACTTTATAATTTTTTGAAAGCTATGCTTATCAATTTTTTGTTTAACAGATCTAATATGTAGCTGTTCTATGTCATGTGAAAATAAGATAACAACATATGTTAACCTGTATTTATGTTTAATAATTAATGTTTCAGTATTTTAACTTATTTAAAATGACTCAGCCATTTTATGATTATCTATTACTTAATTTAACGTAAGATGACTTTAAGATTTTGAATTACTGAAAATAATTTTGAAACTACAACTACAGGTACCTTTCCTGTCTTCCCCAGTCATCCTGGATAGCAAATAGCCATGTCTATTCCCAAGGATGCCTATAAAGGAAGAACTCAAAACTGAACTACATGGAGCTTCAGAATCTAAGAGAAAACTTACCCACAATTCCCAGTTGCTTCGAGAGAACAATGGACACCCTGGACCCGCGGTGGGTCCCATGCCTGGTCACTCAGTGCTCCTGGGGGTTGCTAGATGCCCCACTTCTGGTCCCACTTCTGATACCATCTGTTGGGGAATGATTTGCAAATTGGGCAGCCCCCAGAATCGGAATAGATTCAGAGAGACTCTGTGCTGCCACATGCTTGGAAGGGAAAAAGGAAAGTGATGTACAGAAAGCAGAAATGAGGTACAAAAAAACAACTGGATTGGTTACAGCTCAGTGTTTGCCTTATTTGAACCTAGTTGGAACAGTTGGCCATATTTCATTGGCTGAAACTAGTTGATTGGTATAAGAGTAGGTTACAGACTGTTTCCATATCTAGTGAAGTTACAGTTCACTGTATACAGAGTAACGTTAAGGCTTTACTTAAAATCCATGAGGACACAGCTTCAGGCTAAACTTAATTTAACAAGACTATGAAGTGTTTGCACCAGAAAACAAAGCATATTTTAAGTAGCATTAGAATAAACAAATGCCTGCAAATTTTACAGTATCTTACAGGAGGAGGTAGGGTACTTACCAGAAGCCCCAGTAGAAGTAGAAGGGGGAATTTGGTGATGTATTTCCCTGGCACTTCCAGCCTAAGAATCTGAGCTCCCAGAGGATCCCAAAAAGGCCCTTGGAAAGAAAGGGCTTTTTTAGAAATACAGAGCACACCCACCAGAGTGATAGGATGACAGGGTTTGAGAAATACAGGAATCCATTGCCCAACTTGATATTGATGTGGGAACACTCTGTGCTCACATGCAAAGCAAGAGACTGAGTGATTCTGGAAACAACACTCAGTCAATGACAGACGGACAGTGGTGGACAAATACCCAGCTTCTCATCTGCTCAGTGGCAAAACAGTGAGACATGTTCTACAGTGCCTCGCTTGGGTAGGTACATCACACATCCTCATCCTAATGTGTCATGACAAGGACTGAAGTTAAAGCTACACAATTTAAATGATTGGTGAGCAAGAACTATTCAAGGGCATAACACAAAAATTGTTTTGCCTGCTGTAATTGTACACATGATTTAAAAGACTTAAGTTTTCAGGACAAACATTATAGAGGATTTTCATTTCTTCCTAGATATACTTTTCAGCCATAAACTTTAAATAAACAAACAATTTGTTCAAAGAACCTAAAAGCCACTGGCAAAATGCATTACATTTGTGTTTTTTATATTTAATATATTTTCTTTATTAGTTTATGTAAGATATACTACTTCTACTTTCTACTTATAATTGCATATCTTGTTAGAGCTACAGTTAAAAAAGAAAAAATGTAGTAGATACAAGGTTGTCTCCCCTAGCACCTAATCATCATCCAACATACCTGCCTTTTCTTTCCCTCTCCTGAAAGGTTATAGTAATTTGTATGGCCAGCTTTCCTAGAAGACAAAGCCTGAGCAAAACTTCATAAGCCAAGATATTTGAGAAGAGCTCAATCCCAGTGAAGCAAGAGTGAAGGGAAAATGCAGAAAGGCCGGGAAGGAGGGAGGGCGAACCCTCGAGCTCTCCTAGGGAGCGACAAGGCCTCCTCTTCCTCCCGTGCCAATCAGATCCTTCAGAGCTTCCAGTCTTTGCAGCCCTACGGAAGTCTCTCCTAGCGGTGAAGCCAGTGACCGTGCACGACTCACTGCGCAGGCCTCTCTGGCCAAAAAGCGAGACTAGCGCCGCAGCCCTGGAGGGTGAAACGACTGACTCCAGCACGGTGTTTGGCATAGGCCTATCTCCTGTGCTGTGTTCAATGGCACATTTACAACCCTCGTGAATTTCATCTGTTAGGCACAGTGTATGGGCTCCACTCGGCGTGACCCACTACAAATGTTCAAATTTTTACTTGTTTTGAGATTAGGAAGAAATATGTTAATTTATAATTTAATTAAAATCAGTAACTCATTCTTGAAAATTAGTCTGAAGAAGTTCTATGAATTGGGAAAGGGGAGGAAATCTAAATAATTGACCATAAGGAATTAGTTGAGTATATGATGATGCATCAATTTGAAGGACTCTTACCTCATTTTAAAAGGGTGATTAGTTTAAAATATTGCCATATGCTTTTGACATAATGTTAAATTTAAAAAGCAGAAGATGCAACACCTTCGAGTTGTGATTCAAAATTACATTGGTCAGGAGAGCCAAAGTCACACCATGGTAAGAAACAATATGATTATATAAATGGATAAAACACACACTGGAGCCTTTTGCGGGTGTATCGTGTGAGGAGGGAGAGGATCAGGAAAAATAACTAATGAGTACTAGGTTTTATACCTGGGTGATAAAATAATCTGTACAACAAATCCCCATGACACAAGTTCACCTATCTAGCAAACCTGCACTTGTACCCCTGAACTTAAAAATTAAAAAAAAAAAAAGAACCAAAAAAATCCCAGTAGCGTAGCACAATAAGCCTTTGTTTATTGCACACATACACGCTAAGTAACCATATGACATGACAGGTATGTTCAATGGCTTCACTATAGTAACCATTGTACTATCTACATGAATCCCATAACCTCATGTTGTAAACCTCAAATATACACAATAGCATTTATTTTTAAAAAGAAAAAGGAAGACTGCTGCGTGTTCAGGAGGTTCTCCCAGACACTGTTCACACGCGTTGCCCATGATTCTTCCTGTTGGGTTGGAATCAGGTGGTGAATGGCGCTGCTCCCTTAACCACCATGCTATTCAGTCACTAGAGTTTCTGCCTATTCCTGTGAACACATGACTGTCTGCAATCAGATAGCATCAGACATGTCAAGGTCAAACATCAGACAAACCAGCATTTAGAGGATAAGCAAAAGAACAGGGGACCCTGCCCTGGAAGAGACTCACAATGCTACTGAGGGAGGGAGGGAGTTTCTGCTCAAGCAGCACAAGCACAACAGATGCCATAAGTCAGCCTGTCCTTGTCCGCTCAGACCCAGTCTGCTTACTGAGACATGCCTGGAGTGCCTGTTTCTGTGCATAGCCCATCGCCCTGACAGCACAACTGCAATCTTCGGACTCCATGTCATAGTCTGTCTTGTGCTGTCAGTTTGGATGCCGGTGCTAATATTACTCATGACAGTCCAAGAAGGTTGAGTCCAAGACAATTAATGATAATCGCCCAGCTTACTACAGCACACTTTGTGGAAATGGGCACTTAACTGAAAATCTCGTACTCCAACCAGAGAGGTCATATTTTCCATTTATTTTACAACACTTCTTCAGATCCTATGTGGAGGTCTGTTTTCCTAGAAAAGATCATTTTTTCCAGTCATTTAGAACTAAAATTCAAAATCTGTGCACCCTCAGTTATTTAATACAGATAACAGAAAAAAATTCTGAGAATATTATGGGTTATTAAACACTAAAATGTGCTTCTGAAAAAAATTGCAGGATATCTTCTTGTCAAGTTCCTTGGTTCTCTATGGAGCCAGGGATTCTGAATAGTTACTTCTTGGGGTGTTTCCCAAACCTGGGATGCTATGATAGGGGCCATAAAATCAATATGCTGAGTTGAAAAATATTATACGTCAGCAGTTGGTGAAGAAAGCGAACCCAAAATATTTTAGGTAAGCATTTATTGTGCACTAAATAAGTGTTGCTGCCTTAGCAAAGGGAATTACCCAGATTGCAAAAATGCAACAAACTTGGAAAAATCTTTAAATATACAGAATATTTAATATATCATTTAATGTGGAAAAAAATGAAGAAAGTCTTTCCTTAAAGGAAATATCAAATTTCTCTAATCACATTCTTATTTAACAACAAGACTGTAGTTAAAAAAAAAAAAAATTTGAAGGAAAAGCACTAAATCCAAACTGTAAAAGAATATTAATACATAAATTAAGTGGCACATATCATGTCATATAGTTTTTTAAAATGACATATAGTGTTTTTAGGCTAGACACAGTGGCTCACACCTATAATCCCAGCACTTTGGGAGGCTGGGGCAGGTAGATCACATGAGGTCAGGAGTTTGAGACCAGCCTGGGTAACATAGCAAGATCTCGTCTCTATTTTTAAAATCCAAAAATATTAGCCAGGTATGGTGGTGCGTGCCTGTGGTCTCAGTTACTCAGGAGGCTGAGTTGGGAGAATCACTTGAGCCCAGGACAGGGAGGCTGTAGTGAGTTATGACAGTGCCATTGCACTTCATCTTGGGCAACAGAGCAAGACCCTGTCTCCAGTAAATAAATAAATAACATATGGTGTTTTTAAATTTCTTTATATTCATAAGTAAAATATTGAAGCAATTATTTTTATGTGTGGGTTGTTCCTTGTAGCTTGACTGTTTGGAAGCCACAATGTATTTTTCCTGAAGAACAATGGTGTTTTTTGAGGTCAGACTATCTTCCAAAAGTTCATTTAACTCAAAATAGTATAGAAAGATAGTACATTTGCAAACAAAATTAAAGTAGACTAAACAAAAGTTAAGTAATAAAGCAGATTGTCAAATTAACATACAGGAAACAGTAGCCTTCAATACAAAAAATAATCAGAAGATATGATGTAGGAGAGAGTCCCATTTCCGGCAAGAAAATAAAATATATAATACTTAAGAATAAGCTTAACAAGAAATTTGCAAAACCTCTGTAAGGAAAACTTGAAAATACTCCTGAAGAAGGCTTGAATAAACACAAAGACATCCTTTGCTCTTTGGGATAGGATGATTCAACCCATCGTTAGAATATCAGTTCTCCCTCAGTTGATTTGGAAACTTAACATGATCAAAAATAAATAAATGACAGGCATTTTTATGGAGCTAGACCAGTCAATACTAAAAGCAATAGAAAAAAATAAAATGCTAGAATAGTTATGACAACATTGAAGAAGAAAAACTATAAGGAAATGAAATCCTACCAGATATGAAAATAGACTTTGAAGCCTCTATAACTAAAGCAATGTGGTGATGTGGTGCTAGCACCTCAATAGACTGACAGGCCAGTGGAATTGAATACAGAGTCTAGGAATTGATCCAAGACAAAATGAAAATGTAATGTATGATGATGATGGTGTCTCACATTACTGGGGCAAAAAATTCAAAAACAGCCATTCGAGGACAGGGGCACTACTTCATGTCTATAATCTCAGCATTTTGGGAGCCTTAGACAGGAGGATCCCTTGAGCCCAGGAGTTCGAGACCAGCCTGGGCAATA